ATTACGTTGCCCGATCCAAAGTTAATCTTTAATTTATGCTAACCGTTATTACCTGGCAGCCTTTAATACCGCTCACGCGAAACTCTGTTCGTAAAATTGTTTCCTGGATGAAAGGATAATGCCAGACAGAAAGATGTTCAGAAAAAAGTCGCGAAAATTCGGAGATAAAGAATGAGATCGACTGTGATGAATTGATTAGTCAATCGGTTATTCGCATCGTTTATTAAACCTTTTCTTTACTTGATTAACACTTTACACATATGTGATGGTACTTCAATAAAAAATATTTCCTCTTACCTAATTGAAAATACTCGTATTAATAGCCTGGAACTATGAAAAATAAATATAACAAGATGCTGTAAAAATATTTTAAGATTTGTTAAAAATGAAAATGCTAATGCAATTTTCAGATGTGGCAGTTCATGTGTTAATCAATGCATACACATTTGTCACGATCGTCGATTTTTTCAAACTTTGCAAGTTTTATTTTAAACTATTTTGCTGTGGAATTGTTGCGATTTAAACATTAACAATTATTACATAAAAATAGTATAAGTGGATATTTATGGAATAGTAGATATTTATGGCAGACCGATTTAAAATTTGGTAAATTTGGAAACTTGTACAATAAATCGATCAATTTCGCGATCTAATTCTAACCCCGTTTTTCCGTTTCCGTCTTATTCCGCGTATTGATATCATTTATCACCGATCCGTCTGTTCCTTTCAATACGAGTAGCAGTTTTCGCAATCTCGATGGAACTTCACCGACACTTGACCCGTTAAAATGTATTAGGTTTATCAAGGAGCAAACAATCGGTGTTCTAAGCGATAGTAAAAGAAGACGAAACAACGTTTGCAATATTTCTACAATATTTTGCATACAAATACTAACTGTTCGGAAACTGAATCAATTCGGAAAGAGAACCGAATATTTTCCTAACTCCCAATTAAAATAGACTCGATCGAAAATTTCATATTTTTCCCGCATTTAAAGCTATTCAGCCACGCTCGCATTTATAATGCAAATTTTATGTGCAGTTTTTTTAATAATATTTCAAGCGAGGTCTTGTGAAATTTGCTATCTCTGACCGTGGTCCATGGTATTTATTAGAGACACAACTTTAGTTAAGCGAGGAAAGATACTTCGTTTAACTCTCAAGCAAAGGAAAAGAGACTAAAGCGTAACGAGCACTAACTATTATAATATCATTTTTGGTTCTGGTTTTCCGTTTGTCATCAATTTTAAATTTCACGCAACACAGAACGCGTTAATGCGTTAAAAATTGTTCAAGAAAAATTTCTTAAACTTATTCTTCAGTGTATCATTTTTCTTGAAAAGGAAAAAACAGCACTGTTTATCGCATTCTGTCAAGAATATATTTTTACGTGAACGCATAGCAATATTTTAAATGATTTATTGACTCAAGTTTCGAACGTACTTACTCATAAGTCTCCATCGTTCTGAAGAGCTCATTTTAAAAGGGAAGCTTCGAAGAACATCACCATATTTTTTTTTAATTTAATCCCTTTACGCCCCTCACTGAAAAAAACACAAAAAAAATTTGTTAAAATTTTTCAAAACTTTGTAAGAAATTAATTCGACATTTTGTCTGAAATTCCAAGGTCTATGAATAAAATGATAGGTCTAAAAAGAAAAAATAATTCGCATCATTTGAAACAAAGCTACGAACGAATCGACCTGTAACAAAGAGATCTATTCCGAAAGTTGTAGCGGATTGATTATGCTAGAATGACTTTCTGAACACCCAGTATACATTTCTAGATGGAATAAATCGAAAGAGAGATCGACGGTTCGAGTGCACTCTTCGTCCCAAAGGGGTCTTCGTGAAGCTTACACGGAAACAGCTTTGAAAGTCGATCGGCAGTCTGCTGCCGCTTTTGTTGACGTATACAGGGCTTCCTCACCGCCAATATTTTCCTTTGCTTTTCCTAGCTGACCGAGTCGAACGGACCTAATCCTCGAAGATAGCCTCCCCCGCCTCTTTTCTTTCCTTTCTATCAATTTCAATTCGCCTTCGATATGGATAAACAAGATCGTTCCTGACCGGACGTACCTCGATATACCTTCAAATTATTCCCTCGAATCATCCGACTGAAATGGTCGACGAAATATTCCAGTCCTTCAGATTTCGGGGAAACCGTCGATATTCTGCAAATTTTCGAGACCCTCGAAAACGTCTCCATTCACTCGCGGTATCCCTTTTTTCTGAGCGATGGTGATTAAGCTCTACTCTTTATAGGAAATGGCAGCTTCAAAATCGCTGTTTCAAACTTTTGATCTTTTTCTATTTATATTCTACGTTAAGTAAATTATTAATTTAAGAAATTCAGTGGTAACTAAGTTCAACAATCTTTTTACAAGAGATGTCAGCTTCAAAAGGAATCGCAATTTGATACTTTGCATCTGTTCCCATTTATATCCTAAGTTAAGTAAATTATTAATTTGAATTTATGCCACAAGTCTTCTACGGTGTGAATTTTTGTTCTGAAAGAGTGTATAACCAAAGATAATTTGTTCATACTAAACACTCACGTATTGTGATACAACCTGTACACAAACAGATAGTTAAGAGAAGATTTGTTAGAAAGCAAGCTCGAGCCGAAGTTGTCCCAGTGGTAAGTAAAAGCCACACTTTCTTCGCTAAATTTAATTTGTATGCTATACCGCAGTAAACGCACACGCAAGGTGTAATAACTGAGAACTTACGGCATACTGCAGATAACGAGGACCCTTGCGAGTTGCATAGTCCTTTTATAGGACAAACAAAAACTAGTTACTCAGTAATTAGAACGGGGAAATACTTTCCACTAGAACAGTTACCTATCAGTATATCTTCGAGCATCGACTGACGTTGAGGATTGCACGGTGACTCGGAGAAGGTAAAATGGTTGCTGTGTTACGCTCTGTATTCAATTCTAAATCTTTCGAATTCAGGAATTTTACAAACTTCATATTTTAGCAATTTTTTAAATTTTAGAGGTCCACATTTGTCCAAGGTCTGAAATTTTTAAGTAATTCAATTCTTAAATTTTATTATTCTCCCAAATAATCTTCTTCATGATTTGCAATGTATTTTATAGACGCAAAATTTTCCAAAAAGTCCTCAAGCACCTACATTCTCAAATAATCTTCTCCATAATTTGCAATATATTTTATAAACGCAAAATTTGCCAAAGTGTCCTCAAGTCCTACATTCCCAAATAATCTCCACAATTCGCAATACATTTTATAAACGCAAAATTTCCTGTACCGAGTGGAATATTAAACTGGTACCCGTTACACTTGTTTTATCTAGTGACCACGATTTCATTAATAGTGAAAAGTTCGCTGTGCTCGAGATAATCTCGATCCATAGAACTTTGTAATCACTCTATTACAAGAGTGGGTTATAGTACGATGTAACGTATATCATTGGCCATAGACACTTTTCAAATATTTGATCTGGCGGAAGAATATCGAAGCTGAGTAATCTGATTGACCTTGTTCTTGTTCTTGTTATCATAACCTGTTACATGAATTATTCTGTACTCGTCGGATACGAACGGAATGTTTTGTATAAAATTCTAGACGTTCCGTTCCAATGCAGCTGAAGTGAAAGTATTAGGTTCTCAAGAGAATTCTCTTTCGCATGAATTTTCATATCAATCAGATGCTAACTTTTTGTAGCATTTATTTATAATAATTTCGAACGATAAAAATATTGTGAATCAGAAATGAAGTCACAACTTCCTTTACGTGCTTTATTTTTAGACCGAGATTAATTTATCGGGTGTAAAGGCGTTTAAGACTGAGAAATCCTTAATTAAAAAAGTGTGGGTATTAATATTCATGAAGAATACGTGACCTGTCTCAAAATTAATGAGATCGATTTTTTCGCAACTTTTATTACAAACTTCTTTGCAGAGATGATTTCCAACAGCGTCTTACTGTGGAATACAAGATCGCGCTTAAATATTCCAGCGAATTTATTAGTCAATTAAATACAGGTGAATATAAGCGATGAATAATAAAAATTTTCGTGGTAAAGGTCAATAACGGAACAAAAAAATTTCCTCATTCGTTCGAGGAAGTCCTCGCTATATCAGCAACTCACAACAAACAGAATGTTTGCCTCGATAATGCGATTAATCGGAAAGAGTAAAAGCGAACGAGAAAGAAAGAAAACCGGTAGAAAGTATAATATCAAGTTTCGTTGTAGAAAAAAGAAATACGCGGTTCGGTAGCTTGAAATAGCCTCATAATTCATCCAAAAAAAAAAAGGCCGTCTCATAAGTCTACCGGGAGCATTATGAAAATTAACAGGAGGAAAGAGGATATAATGCGATGAAACGAAGGAAGAAAAAAAAAAGACATGGTGTAATGAAACATTGCGTATCAAAACGATAACCACCACGTTATGGAACTCGTTAATGACGTCGCGTTGCACCGTAATTTGCATGCAAATATCTCGATACGAGGCTGAGAAACTTCTTTCACTCTTCTACCTGAATTATTCCACGAGAAATTTACATCAGACTAATTTCGTGTCTTTTCGACCGACCGTCCGATCCTCGTAAATCCAACAATTTCCAACAGTCTATATTTTATACACAACCTATTATTATTATAAATATTGTCGGGTCTTTTCACTATCACACTTTTCTCGAATTTAGCGATTTTATCTTATGGACAGATTGATGGTTTTAGACGGCCCAAATTACTTTCCTGTAACGTTCTACATTCAACGAAGAATTCGTCGATTAGAAAGTATCTATAAATACAGGTCGGCAATATAACGAGAGTCTGTGCGATCAAATACTCAATTGTCGCCAGAAGTGCTTACAGCAGATCCTTCATTAAATTCTAAATAAATTTTTAAATTAAGAAATTAGACTACGTTTGAGAATTTAAAGTTTTCTATAGTTTATCCATGGCAATATAGCAAGAGTTAACTACGCGTTATCGCCCCCTTGCGGGTACAGTCGTCCATCACTGAATGCACCACCCCATAGTTTCTTATTTACGTTTGCTCGAAATGGTTCGAGGTGGCTCGATCGATTTTTTACTCGCGTCGCCGGAAAATATTCGGCGATGTCAGTCTTTATGAACGAGACGATACGTCGGTAAAAATTCGGGCGAAATACTAGATATTCACTGAATACCGAATCTTATCGTCTCTAACGCCTCCTCATACGTTTCATCGAGGTCGTCGCGCTTACGAGGTTAAGTTCGTCTGATACTCTCTGTGCCTTTCCACAGACTTTTGTTCTTAGTACGAGCGCACGCATTGTTCGAAATCATGCTAACACGGCTCTTAATTGTTCCTAAGCTTACAGTGTCCGGTGCCTGACAACAAAAGCATAATTATCATGTTTCGATTCAGTGAATGACAGCCAACCGGCAAATAGTATATTGCATATTTCAGCTCGCATCAATGAAATGCACCCGACAAAGTGCTCGTACTTTATATGACTTCCTTGTTTGTTCCGCGTGTTAAGCGGTCAAAGCTTTTAGAAATTAGAGGATTTCTCTTCTGAACGGATGTGCATGGTAGACACTGTTTTATTTGGTTTTAATTTGAAAATTCAATATGTTTTTATCTTATGTGTTTTGATATAGAACACTAGAATATTCAAAAAGTATATAGTTTATAGTTCTGAATAAGTGGAGTTCATTGGTTTTAATAATATATGATTAAATGCAAGACTGTTGAAATTTGAGATTAATATTGTGCTGGATTTCTTTCAGAAAAATGACCCTGTTACAGTATGTTGGAATTTTCGTGCTTCTAAGTAAGGATATTATTTTTTATACCATAAACTGAATTATATTTTTAGTAGAAAGTATTTCCTAATTATCAATTAATATTTTAGTTGCACATCAAGTACAAGCAGACTTCAAAGTTTCCACACAAGATTTAAAGGTCCACTTAAATGGTCAGCAGTCATTTGAATTGTACCTGACGTAAGTATCATTTTATAGTTAAATGATTTTTTAATATGTTTGTTGCATTTGTTTCTAATTCTAATATCTTTAAACTTCCATTGCTTTCAATTACTTTTGGGTGTTTCTTTAATTTTAGTAGAATAACAATGTCAACATTACATGGTGATAGTCTTTAAGTAATGTTCCAAGCACTATCTTGCAACTGCTAATTAAGATAAATCTCTTTCGTGTTCTTTTACTCTTTAACTTAACATTGTAATTAACTACGGATTTATAATTAAATGATTTATCACGTAATATTTTGTACAGGAAGAACCTATCAGAAAATGTGTTGGTAACGATAGAAGTGCAGCATCCAGATTTGGTTAAAACTTTACCTGATACATTGAGTATTAATGCAAGCGATATTATTGACAAATGGAGTATAATCGTAGAAGGCAAAAGTGCAGGACATTCAGTTGTAGCTGTTAATATTACGCCTAATAATGTTACAGAGTAAGTATTTTATTTTTAATTTTTATATTAAATACTCTTTGTACGGGGAAGATCATATATCTGTATAATGAATGTTTCAATATGTTAATTTAACAAGCATCAATAAAAGTTGAAAGCAATTAATTATATCATTCCCCACTTTTGTTTGTTTGATATCAAACACGATTGGGTTGTGGCCTGGGTCAACATCAATATTTACTTTTATGACTTAATTCCAGAAGATTTTGATTAGGATTACATTCATGAGTGGTCACTAGCAGTTATTTGCAGAGATAGCCTCCTGACCTGTAGTTGTCAGCATGTCTTTAAGTTACAATTCAGCCAGTCTGTGCTCAGATTTTGAGCAGACTACTTCCTGCTCTAACTAGAATATTAGCTAATCAAAATTATACAAATTTATTTAATATTCAATAAAAAGTAATTTAGTGTAATTTTTTCCAATTGTTTAAAGCTTGTGTTATTTTAAGTAAACCGTTAGAATGACAATGTTTAAAGTGATTTTAATACCTCAGGATCAGTTAGGCAAAATTAATTTAAAGTAAGATACAGATTAAACACTTTGCAAATTTAGTGTATCAAGATTTCTGTGGTGTTTACTTTTGATATTTTTGCAGTTTTTCAGATGCATTCGTTAGAGTTACAGTGGAAAAGTCTGAAGTTCTGTATCATATAAGTAGTGTCGTAGGATGGATATACTTTTTAGCATGGAGCGTTAGCTTCTATCCACAAATATATAGCAACTATAGACGTAAAAGCGTCGTCGGATTAAATTTCGACTATTTATCATTAAATTTAATTGGTTTTATTATGTACTCATTATTTAATTGTGGATTATACTGGATACCTGAAGTGGAGGTAAGTTTGATTCTAAACATTACTACTATTTTTCTGTCCACGAATATTAATATATACTTATATCTTTTAGCTTGAATACTTCAGACGGTACCCTAAAGGATTAAATCCTGTACAAGTGAATGATATTTTTTTTTCCTTACATGCATCATTTGCTACTGTGATAACTATTATTCAATGCTTTATTTATGAAGTAAGTATTCAAAAGATATAATCAAGTACTATCTCTAAGAAATAATGATCAAATTATAGTGACATAATTATTTCTTTCAGATAGGAAATCAGACAGTGTCTATTACAGCACGTATTATTCATGCAATATTTGCTGTCTTTATATTAATCTCTATAATACTAGCTGGAGTAGCAACAATCACGTGGCTGGACTTCCTGTATTATTGCAGTTACGTTAAATTGTGTATAACACTAATTAAATACGTACCTCAAGCATTTTATAATTATAAAAGAAAATCTACCGACGGCTGGAGTATTGGCAATATATTCTTGGATTTTACTGGCGGCATGTTATCGATGCTGCAGATGATACTGAATGCATACAATTATGGTAACGTATCTAAAACAAATATCAAATTTTTTAATTTTTTTTCCGAAACGATCTTCAATTAATGACTTTTTTTTTAGATGATTGGGAAAGTATTTTTGGAGATCCAACGAAATTTGGTCTGGGATTCTTTTCAGTCGCATTTGATATATTTTTCATTTTACAACATTACGTATTTTACAGGTACGTATATTTGTAGTTTTATTTCTCATCGAATATTTATGAGATAATAATGCTTGTTTTTGGTGACAATATATCATAAATAGCACGTATATTTTCGTAGTTAATGACATTAACAGCTAAAGTACTAAAAGATGCATGCTTGTCTTGTTGCATTCTTCAAGCATTGGTATATATTCCGCATTTTTTTATATGTAGACGCGTAGTTGACGCTACTGCATGAAAAAAATATGTATTCTATTTACTTTGTATTCACAGTTTGGTTATTGATAACAAATTAAAATCTGTAACATCACAGTACTTCGCTGTATATAATTAAAAATGTAATTAGAATCAAAGGTTACTTTGTATATGTACATACATAAAATTTCACACTACTTTCTATTTGCTTAAACGCCGTAATTTGTACGTACATGCTTTCTATACTACAAGTTGTGGATACGAGATAGAAAAACATTTTGATTTTACAGATTTATCAGTGAAAAGATGGTTGACCTCAAAAACAGAATATAAGCATCTCACATCATCAATTTTTCTTTTCAATTTACCTCACAAAATGCTTTTTTCTTCCCCCCTGCATAAGTTTGCAAAATTACACATTTTTGCAGAGATAACCCGAATGAAAGAAGTAACGAAATACTTCATAAACAAGAGAGTTCAGACGACGAAGAGACGAGGATGTGTTGCGGTTTAATAATACAGAAATAAGATTACATTGAAAAATATTCTATAAAATTTTGTTCTGTTGTAAATGCAGCTTCAGTATTCTATACATTTAAAATATTTCAGTGCATTTCATTACATTAATTTTTAATATTTGAAAGAATCTCAGTTGGTTGTTAATTGCGAAAAAAGAAAAGCAAAGAAATTTATAAAGAACAATAGATTAATAAATTTCAGTGTATTAGTACGAATTTTTTTATGTAGGAAATCGAATAATTTAAAATTATATATATTAAATTTCATTATTAACGAGCAGATAAATAATTAGGCATTGAATGAAAATGGTGATGGATTTGAAGTGCACGATTATTATGCCATGCGTATTTATAGTTTGCTATTTTTTTTATATGAATAAGAAATGTGCAAAATTAAGGAAGAAAGTTTTGTAATTTTAGCGTTATGATGAAAATAGTTTGCTAGGTTTTGTGCATTTTGATCGATCTAAATGTAAAATGAGATTTTATTATGCAATAATTGTATAAACAGTATTTTAAACCAGGTTTACAATTTCGTTTCAATTAATGTGCAAAAAGTGTTGTTATTGTTGTGTCATGCATGCAGCATGTTATTGAAGTACTTTTTACATCATGGGAAAATCTATTCATAATTAAGATTTTGTATTATTTTGCCATAGTTATTACAATTTACATCATTGTATTCATTTGTGCATCAAACACAAATATGTTATAGTTCATGTATTTATATTCAATCACCATAGCAAATTTTTATACGCTCTACACTACCTCTGATTAAATTCCTATGAATCAATAAAATGTCAGATTTTAATTAAGTATCACCCCTTGTATGAATATGGTTTCTCAAAAGTTATTTGACCCAATTCTTGTATTAATTTTCAGGAAAAATTGCATGTATGCGCGAATGTGTATGTATGCGTATGTATAGATGTGTGTATTTGATTCGATTTACTAACCATACTAATTTAACTAACAATTTTGCAATGAGTGAAAATTGATCGCCGAAGGATGTATGTCACGAAAGTAGCATTAATCGTTAAAAATATCCACGTTATCCCTATTATTTTTCCTTTCGTTTAAAAACAAAAATAAATTACCAAGAAATACTTTTCACAGGGAACGTAAAGAATACGATAAAATACCTGGTAACGATTACGAAGGATCGCAAGACACTCCATCGACTAGCACACTTGCTTGATCTAGCGTCGTTGTCATTGACTGATTATTTATTTACTCTGTTTACTGCAATAAAGAATAATTCGTTTATCTATCGCTCAAACGTAGAAGCGAGCGCTAATATCATTACTGAGCCAAGGATGCTTGGTTAAAATGTTGAATATGTATTGATAAAGCCGTTACGTGTATATTGGCCGCTTAAAACTCACATTCCCACGATTACAATATAGGCTTACTTTAATTATCGATAAGAATAGGAAGAGCTTTTCAACATTCCATTTGGGAGAAACTAGAATAATGCTATACAATGCATGGCAATATAACACGAGTCTGCACAACGTGTTATACTATATGGAGGTATAGAACGTGTAATGCGAATTATCAGGAAGCCTATATTGCACCTATGTGTACTTTATATAGATAAATTCTACGATTTCTTAAATGATACCATACGAATGAAGTTTATAGTGCGGTGAACAATTAGCACATATACACGCGGGGACTTTGTACACTGATATAGAAATAATTATTTTTATCAGTCAAAGAATCCATCGTTAAAAATTGCGAAGATATTTAATTAAGTGCTTTTATATAACACTTCAAACAATCGAATAATTTGGTCTAATTACAAACACAATTGCGTATTACCTGGTTACGGCTGCACAGGATTAAACAAAACTGATGAAACCACTGTAATTTTCAAAATTGAACGAGTTATACTGTTTCGATATTCGATATTTAGCCATCTAGTGGTAGCGCCAAGATACACAAGTCACGTGATCTGTCGTAGCAGAACACATTGTATAGGTTATCGATGTTATTTATTTGAAAAGAGAGGTAAGTTTATTTTTTATGACTTGATATTAAACATTTTTATAGAAAATCAGAAGATATTATTGTTTGAGAAGTATTAGTAAAATTAAAATTAATGAACAGTTATAGAATAATCGTATAAATGAACATCTTAACTTGACTAGAAATATAACCTCTACATTAAAACTGATTGCAATAAATATTGAATTATTTTTGTATTTTCATCAATATATTTCGGACAGTTATACTAGTATTTTGACAGTATGTTCATATTTCAGAATGAATATACCATCTCTTTTGCGAACAACACAAATTGCACTAACCCCCCATAGAAATTTAAATTGTTGGACAGCAGCAATAACAAAGAAACATAGAAAAGTGTATCCACATGACTATATTACGTATCTGGTTTTACCACATGGTGGTAGTATCCGCATCAATTATCCTGTACCAAGGCGGATAATACGTCTTCCTTTGGATATAAGTACTCTCAATGAAGAGGACCGTAAACAAAGGATGGAAAAACGTAAAGTCTTTGTGAAGGTTAAACTTGTTGATGAATTTGTGGATGACTTTGACGAATCTCAGTTTTTCGCACCTCCCAAACAGAAAAAGTAATTGTATCATTCTGTAAATGTATGTTATATGCCATTGATGTTGTTAGGTACAAAATAGCGATATTTGTATTCTGTCCTAACAATTAAAACTGTAATGGTAATGTAAGAAGTATTAAACATTACATTGTGACACAAAATGTATGTTAATAAAAATATTTATGCATGTAATAATTCTTTTCTTAATAACAAAGTTTATTAAATTAATTTGTATGCATTTTATACTTCTCTCATTTGCTAACTAATGTGGAATATGTAGCAGTTGTTTTAGGAAATTCTTTTATTAAAATAATGTGTAATAAAGAAAACATTTGTAGTCTAAAATTATGTTATGAAGTTTAAAGTTTAGAAAAACTATAATATACACCAACCTTACCTTACCTAATACCAATTATAATTACCATGAATAGGGTATTTTATATAAGCTAGAGTAAATTTCCTGATAACTTTGTTAGTATCAATTTTACCACTGAAGGTATCAACTAATGGTAAAAAAGTGAAAGTAAACGATTATAGTTTTACCTCCAATGTCTTGCATTGACTATTAACATAAGCATACGTTTTCACTGTACTGGATACAAACGACCAAACGTCAGAATTAGAAAAAGTTGTATTTTACAATTGTATGCGAAAATACAATTCATCTAAGATAATTATGCATCGAATGTTGCTTTTGACAGACACCGATTATTATCTAGATATTGATGAACTTTCTCCAGTTATTTACGACCGGCACTGGTCGACACAGTAGGTTTCTTCAGTCTAAAACGGCGATGTGGAGGAAAGAAGTAACTCGTATTTTTCAAATATAAACACACGTAAGATGTAGAGACTTAGAAATTCAGACATTTGAAAATTAAACAATTTTTTAATTTGATAAACAACTAAATTTGCTCAATGAAATTGCTCTTAATTAAAAACGTTGCACTCAAATATATACATATATAAATATTTTCCGCGTTGGTCATCATCAACCTAATTATGGACAAAAATGATTTTGTCACTACAAAATTTAAAAATAAAAAAAAGACCTTGACGTTGCAGAAAAGAAATATCGCACACCAAATAAGTACCTATTAGAAAGGAAGCGATAAATGAAAAAGAAAAGTGTTCATTGATTGCATTAATCGATTTTAATTAACGATTGTTCGCGAAAGTTACGATCCTTTCTACCGCGAGAAGGGGCAAACGGTTGTCCATTTTCGGTTTCGTTACGATGATATAATATTTGGTGATACGTCGTGTTTCGCTTGTGACCGTGCGGATGCTTTCGTCGCTGGTGAAACTTCTCTATTGCGACAACCTAGGAAAATTTTGCGGCCTTTGTTAGGCAACGATATGTAGCGTACAAGCAGAAGGTGCCAGAACGCATCAATAATTAGGTAGGCGTGATTCGTTTCACGTCGGTTAATGTTTTTATTTATACCTTTCGAGAACAATGTTCCCTCGAGTTCGAACGTCTCTCTAAAGAAATTTAGCACATCGTAAATTATCTGTACTATCAACACGATTTCTGATCTTGAAGGGTGAAGAGTTCGAATCTTTTCTTTCTTTATCTGGAGATATGATTATGAATAAAAATATAGAATCCTTGTAAGTGTCGATCCTTGCAAATATCAAAAGATACCAATTTCTATAATTTCAAACTTCCAAGCTTCCGAAACCCCTAACTAAACCTTGAAGCTTTCAGATTCCTAAATGATCAAATGTACAATTTCCAAAAGTGACAAAGTTCTCTTTCTCAGATTTCCAAAGTTCAATATTTCTAAACGTACAAACAGCAAGTATTCGAACGTACAAGCTAAATTAGCAAATTTCTAAATGATTTCTGTGAATCCTGAACGCGTCACCCCTCCAATCTGCACGTGTCCGTGATTTCTTCGGGCGACATGGCTATCGTTAAACCCCGTGCAATGATTTTAAAAGGAAATGTCCCGGTGATAAACCCTGTCAGGTGCATTTCCCAGACCAAAAACATAGGAAACAATCTGATCGCGAAGTAAAACGCAGCTCGTTTATCACAGGTAAAAAGACACGGTAAGACCGTGGTGGGAGTAGGTTCTGTTATAGTAGGCCACGAGGTAGCAGCTCTGGTGTTTCTGCAGGTGTACCACGACCAACTGGAACTCTCTCTTAGTTTCTGCTGGCGCTCCAGGCTTCTCGTTTTGCCGGAGTGCGCCGCTCCGTGACAATCGAGCCTCGAGATCGCCTCGAAAGCGATCCGTACAATGAACAATAATTCGCGAGGAATTGCGTGAAGTATCAAAACGTTCTCAAAGTCCAGCCGTTTCGAAATTCTCCAAATTTCTCGACATGGAAGGAACGTTGTCAGGAGGTCGCGAACCGATGTGATCGAATGGTGTTTGGATCATCGATCGATGAACCGTTTGGTAACAGTTTCGAGAGCCTGAAGAAGCGGTGCCGACCGCCTGAGCGTTTAAAGTGCGCCGAGGCTTTTAGAAGGAGAAAGCAGGAGAAGTTGAAGAGTTCAGTCAACTGAGAAGAAGCAAAAAATATAAGACGTGTTCGGTCGATAATCGAGATTTACCCTCGAATTCGTCAAAATTTCTTTGAACTCGCGGACAATCGAAGTTACGCTAAGTTTAACACGGATTGAATGACGAAGAGAAATCGATTATATCGTGTCGATCGAGCGAGTCACTTCGATCCTTTTGAACGTTTGTTTATTCCTTTTCTTCGGTACTTGAAAGCTGATAGTATGACAACGCGTTGATTTTCCCAGTCGAGTTTCTTACACACGTGCTCTATTTTTTGGACGATGGATTTTTGAGAGGAACTCCCGCCTGGTTCACGAACACGTGAGATGATTGGCAAACTTGTTTTGAGCCTGTGGATACTCGGATGCATCAGCCTCGACGGTACGTCAAGTTATTATTTTAGCTAATGTCACTTTTAATTGCACCTTGATATATTAATGTCATCGGGAGTAAATAATCGATAACACTTATCTGTTAATTTGCTGTATGCAGTCTTCTCAAAAACGATGTCGAGTACAATAAATATTCTGTTTCTAGTTATAAGAGTCTAACCTACATTAAATCGTAATCGAAATAAATAAACAACGTAACAATATTCATTGATAATCTGCATCTTATAGGTTCTTGTAGGTCTTGCAGGTCTTATAGGTCTTATAGGTTCTTATAAGTCTTATAGGTACAATATTAATAGTATAATATGTTTGATTAAAATAA